GACGCTCAGATCGAAGAGCCCATACTAGTGGACCTTTCTTGCAGCAACGAAATAGCCGAAGGACTTCTTGTGGAATCAGCCCCCGATCCACCTCCTCGACCAAGCTGTGGATAGCAGAATCGCCAGAGGACTTCTTGTAGATGGCACCATTCTTGCAGCGACGCCAGCTAGGGAAAGTATAGAGAGAAGGGAGAGAGTAGACAGAGAGAGAGAGAAAGAGAAAGAGAAAGAGAAATGGTTTGGAGGGATTGGAATTATTAGGGTAAAATATTTAATGTTTGCTTATTATATTGATACCTGATTTATGAATTATGAAACTTCAGCCCTGATTTTTGAATTGTAATCTTTAAACATTGGAATTATGTAATTTGCTCTTCTAATTATTGAGCTAAATTATGGCCTTTTAAAAGCCTAATCCAACAACGTGCTCAATTCTCCCTCCACTAAATTGTAAAATGTCAATTTACCTATTTTCAATCACAAATTCAATTCTCTCTCCATAGCAACCAGCCAAATTACACCTTTAGTTAACCTCGATCTTGTTGGACCACTTTTGGAATATCTCAACACTAGGTTCCTCATTGAAGATCGGAGGAAAGTTATAGCCGTCATCATCCAAATTTAAATATTCTTCTGCATCCAAGTTAAAAGGAAATGAAAAAAGTTTCATCCCAAAGTAGAACTTCTTGCATTGGATTCCATGTACATCAACTCGTCCTGGGTGTTCTCTAATACCAACTAATGTAGCTCGAGTGATAAATGACGAACAAAAAGAACGATCTAAAAACACTTTGCTTCACAAAGAGTGCCTTGCATACAGTATGGAATTTTTGATCTTGATTACAAAATCGTTGATTCTATCTAATATCGATTCATAATCAACAAATTGGAAAGATACAATTTTGGAAGAAATTGTCTCACTAAATTTATTTTACTAAAAGCTGACCGCTATTAAGGCTTACAACTTTTATTTAAAGTATGATAATTACATCAACATAATGACGAAAATTACATCTAGATAATGATGAAAAATAAAAAGCTCTCGGAATTGAATTTCAAATTTATTTACTAAAAAATTAACTAAAAGATAATTATAAATGAAATATAAAATATAGATAAAAATTGCATAAATTAAATTGAAAACTTGCCACACATACAATCTTTATCTTATCAGTAACAAATCACAATGTTTATCAACTCTTTTGAACTTTTTTTTTTTTTAAAGTTTTAATGAAATTTAACATTACTGTTTCCTCGATAGGACTGTCAATGTATTGAATTTTGATCTGAATCCGATGAAATTAATAGGAGATGAATTTAAAGTCTCAATCCGATAATCCGATCAAGATTAGAATCCGATAATCCGTTAACTAAATAAATAAAATATGGATATATGTTAATTCGATTTGATAACAATCCTATTCGGTTTGTTATAATAATATAATATGTTTTATATATTGTTGCATAATTTATTACACAATTTTTTTTTTTATCTTGAAACTTCTATTATACTTTCCACAGAATTTTCAAATAATACATAATATTGGATAATAGTATAATATTTTTAATTGAAATATTTGGAGAGTATTTAATTTTTTATTAATTAAAATAACATAAAAAATAATTAATTTATTTTTTAAATTAAACAGCCAAAGAGGCCAACATTTGGAGTTACCTTCATTGTTCCTAACTTCCCACTTCCAATATCAGATGCTTACTAGAATATCGGAGGATTTGTAATCCATAAATAGGTGGGCCAAGAATTGGGTAAAAATCTATCTGGGCCTTTTAATTCTACGGTTTAGAAGTTGACTAATATAAAAATTTTATCTTCCTAATTTCTTCAATTACGATAACATAGCAAATCGAATATGGATTTAACAATCAAATATTTATTGGATTATCGGATTGGATAATTATTCTTATCGGATATGGACATATCAAATCCATATCCGATCAATTTACAGCAATATCCTCGATGAGTACATTAATATATCTTTGATTTGTTAATGATACCCTCACATTTTTTAGATAGTTCCAAATTAATTGATTTAAAATTTTATTCTTTCACTCAATTGAAAAATCGTTTTCACTTCTTAAATCTTTCACTTTATTGAAAGCCAAAATTTCTCCAATTCTTTCACTCATTTGAAGTATTGATTTTTCATTTTTATTTTTTCACTTGGTTGAAAGAAATATTTTTCAACGATTCTTGAACTCGATTACAAGAGTTCATTATTTTCATTGAAGGTTTCCAACAAACTTGTTCAAACGATAGATCACTATATCTATCATAAAAAATAATAAAATAATAACCAATCCCATGTTTTGAACACATTTTGAAAACGTCACTATGAATTATTTCTTATTTAGTTCCTCTTAACTTTGTAGCTGTTTTCTCATGGGGTCTTTTATTTCACAATCATGCTACATGTACATTGTTCTTACATTATTTTTTACATTGTATGACGTGGTATCACACTATTGAACAGTTTAAAAAAATAATTTTTTCATCAATCAAATCTTGTCAACAATGATGATATCAATCACAATGTATAATATATGATGTATAAGTGGCATTGTCCTTTATTTTATACTTGCAATTTTGTGCATAATGGACCGAATGACCACAAATGAAGATGGTAGTTGGTGCAATAATCGCAAGTGTGCAATGTGAATTAAATAAGTAGAAAAATGAACCTAGTGAGTCCCAATTATCGTCCCAACAAGTCTACTTTATTCGAATATTAATTTAAATAACACTACTTCTAATTTGATGAAACAATATTTCAAGTAAAGTTTTTGATTAAAACTGATTAATACTAATAAAAGTGAAAGCATTTAAAAGATCGAATATGATGATTAAAGTGTTGATCTACTCACGATTTCATCATAGTTATCACTTGTAATCTCGCCTCTAAAATCCAATTTCTAAAGTTGTGCTCTATAGAATTCAATAATTAAATCAATTTACATCTCTCAAATTCAAATCAATGATATTTAGCTGAGTCAATTCACTATAGCTCTATGTGAATCTGAATGAGTCTCAACTAAAAACATTAAATCGCCAATGAATTCAGTTCAAGACTGTAACAATAATAAATATATATTTATACATTTTACCCAATTGTCGAATTTCACTATGTTGTCTAAATTTATAATTTACCTCACTTCTTTAGTTGCCTCGTCACATGGGAAGTCCATTTCCCACATCCCGAGATGCCTCGCCACATGGGAAGTCCATTTCCCACCTCCCGAGATGCCTCGCCACATGAGATGATATTTCATGAGCCTTAACATTGGAGGTATAGCTATTTTTTCTAAGGAGACCTTGCCTCCTTAACATGCACGAGCCACATTTTTCCTCACATCGCCAAATGCCTCATCTTGCGAGATGTCCATTTCCACCTCATGAAAGATGCATCTTCCTTCGAGTTGCCTCGTTATGGGAGACATTTATTTCTTGCTTTGCATGATGCCTCGCCACCCAAGAGTCAAGCTAATATCCCAAGTGGGACTTGTCTCCTTTGACATACATGAGATGATTGATCTATTTATTCCTCGCTTCATGAGAAATCTCTCACTCGCAAGATAATTGTTCTATCTATTTCTTGCTTCACTAGGTTATTTAGTCTGCTAGATGAATGTTATCAATGCCATTTATTTTTCAATTTACAAGTCCACTGCCTAATATTATTGATATGATCGAATTTAGAGGACTATTGTAATATTATTATCTTACTAGTATTATATTTTTACTGCTAGCATATCTTAATACTATTTTCATTGTTGCCAGTATGCATGCCACATTTATCTACATTGTAATTTTATTATCAATAGTATGTTACTTGTTTCACCAGCAATATCGTTGCTTTTGTTGGAAAAAACTGAGTTGGTAGGCTGGTTTTGGCATTAATTTTGAGCGGGACCCGGTTGACTATTTTGAAAGATGGAAGTTG